GGGGCAGGACTACTGATCCTTGCCCAACTCATCCCCTGTCCCTTCCGTGTGTCTTGGATGTGACCTGTGTGTTGGCCAGAATCACCGCCCACGTCCACTAGAGCACCTGCCGTGGTCACGTGCCGGCAATGGCAATGCATCCTGTGGCCTACGGCATGCCAAGTGGCATCCCCGTGAGCAAGACATAGGGGCCCCACTTCTCAGGCTTGACCCTGGAAGCACAGCAGATACAAAGGCGGGAGCAGACTCAAAGCTGTTTTCACAGTTGGATTCAGCACAATAGCGCCAAACAGGTCTCACCCTAAAGCCTGACGTCTTTATTCACAAAGTCAACTGCAAAAGGGCAAGACAAAGGAGATCCAGTGGGAGTCAGTTCATGAGAGACAAAAAGAAGCCCAGGATGGGGAGATTAATATGTTTAATCTGGCTGCTTAAAATATAGAAATAGTATCAAGTTGGGTAACGTTGATGAAGTCAGAGTCCCTGTTTTAAAAAAGAAAATCACATTCAAATTTCTTTTTTTTTTTTTTTTTTTGGTTTTGGCTTTTTTTTTTTTTTTAATCTTAATAGACTTGATTCTTTTTTTTTTTTTAGTGGAGGCGGGGGCCGGGGGTACTGAGTCTCACTCTGTTCCTCAGGCTGGCAGGCTGGAGTGCAGTGGTGCGATCTCGGCTCATTGCAACCTCTGCCTCCCCAGTTCAAACAGTTCTCTCGCCTCAGCCTCCCAAGTATCTGGGACCACAGGTGCACACCACCATGCTGGGCTACTTTTGTATTTTAGTAGAGATGGGATTTTACCATACTGGCCAGGCTGATCTTGAACTCCTGACCTCAGGTGATCCACCCACCTTGGCCTCCCAAAGTGCTGGGATTACAGGTGTGAGTCACTGCGCCCGGCCTAGACTTGATTCTATAGAGTACTTTTAGGTTCACGTCAAAATTGAGAGGAAGGTACAGAGAGATTTCTCATATACTGCCTGCTGCAGGCACGCATGGTCTGCCCCGCCAGATGCTACATTTGTTACAGCTGATGGACCTACCCTGACACATCACTACATCATTATCACCCACGTCTATGGTTCATCTTAGGCTTCATTCTCAGTGTTGCATATTTTGTGGGTTTGGACAAATTTATGACATGTTTCCACCACTATAGCATCATACAAAGCAGTTTCGCTACCGTCAAAATTCTCTGTGCTACAACCAGTTTCCTTTTTTAAAACAAAAAGGAAAGGGACCAGTTTATTTTGTGATTGTAAGCAAAGAATCACAGCTACCAATCTCCTATTCTGTGCCTCTTCTTCCCAGGTACAGACATTTTTTTTCCTTTGGGAGAGATGTGGCTTATTCTAGGTTCAAGGGTAATGGTCATGCCTGGGTCATGGCCATCGTCATTCTCATCTTGGGGAGAGCGTTGGGTCCTATGAAGGCCCAGAAGTCTAGTGAACCTGGTTGACGCTCAGTAAATGTCTGCCCCACTGAATATTTTCCGTATCTCCTTCCAAGAGCACCTTCTAGTGTTCTTCTATTTTCTTGACCATAGCCCCCAGCAGGCATAAGATCTGTGTCCTGGGGTCAATGTTTCTACAGTGATGACTTTAGAAACCAGTCTGTTCTGAAAGCTTTCACCGTTTCTCAGGAGTAATGAGAGAAATAAACATAGGTTTTTATTCATTTTAAAGATGTCTCCTTTATTTGAGACTGTGTCTCTTCTATATTTTTAGTGTTAAGATGTATTCTGGGGGAGCTGGATGGTTGGGGCCGGGCACAGTGGCTCATGCCTGTAATCCCAGCACTTTGGGAGGCCAAGGCTGGTGGATCATCTGAGGTCAGGAGTTTGAGACCAGCCTGACCAACATGGTGAAACCCGTCTCTACTAAAAATACAAAAATTAGCCGGGCGTGGTAGCGCATGCCTGTAAGCCCGACTACTCGGGAGGCTGAGGCAGGAGAATCGCTTGAACCTGGGAGGTGGAGGTTGCAGTGAGCTGAGATCGTGCCATTGCACTCCAGCCTGGGTGCTGGTGACAAGAGCAAAACTCCACCTCAAAAAAAAAAAAAAAAGAAGAAGATAGTGGCTAGTTTTTTAGTGTGTGTGTGCTTATTGTCCCTATTCATCACGTTCATTCTTGCTGCTTCCAGGCCACATCTGGGCCATGTTGTCCACTGTAAGAAAAGTAGTGACTGAGCAGAAAATGAATGGGAGGGATTGAACATCTGCCACACAAACTCTTTTGGCCAAAAGAAGAGAAAACTTAAAGGGGAACAAAAGAGCTGTCTTCACATATTTAAGAAGGTCTCTGGGTTACTCCAAAGACCAGAACTAGGAGAAATGAACTAGGAGAAATGTGTAGAATTTAGCTCAGTTCTCTTCGTGTTGAGTAGTGGCTGGGTGCTGAGATGAGACTCATGGCCACCCTGCAGGAGTTCTCCATCTCTTACCGAGGAGACAGTGACAGCAATGATAGCTAAGAGTTACATTTGCATGGGTGTCCGTGTGCCAGACACTGTTGTAAGCAGTTTATGGACAATGTGCCACTTGTCCTCACAACTGCACCCCAAGGGAGTCACTGTGGCTCCCATCCCTGCCATGTGAGCCATGGATCCAAGAAGGGGTTCACTGGAGTTAGGCCCCAGAAGCCTGAGGACAGAGTCATGAGTCTGCCAAGGGGATTAGGACTTAGCTTCAGAAGAGGTGCCCTGGAACAAGGAGGGACAGTTTGGGATGGAGGGGAGGAGCCCAGGTAGCTCTGTCTTCTCAGCACCAGAGATGCCAGCGCCACCGCAGTTGGTTCAAACCAGCCCCGTCCTCACCGGGACTGCTGCAGGAGCCTCCTCTGGTTGCCTTGCCATTTTTCTGCCCACTATAAACTGGTATCCATACCAAGCTGGTGGCCCTCTCAGAGCCAAAAGGAACATGTCACTTCTCTCTCAAAACCCTGCAGGACTCCATCTTATTTGAACAACAGCCACCTGGGCCAGCCAGGCCCTAGGAATCTCACCCTTCTGCCTCCCAAATCCCATCCTTTCCCCTCACTCTCCGCTCCCTCACTCCGCCTCCACCCCACCAGCGTGCCCCTCCACCACGGCCTTTGCACCCCTGTGACCTCTGCCTTGGAAGCCTTTACCCGTGTAGCCACAGGGCTCACTTCCTCCCAGGCTCTGCTCAGATGTCCTCTTCCCAGTGAGGCCTTCCCTGCATCCTGCTGTAAGATAGCAGTCACCCCCACCTACTCCCTGTTCTGCTCACACTGCTTGACTTGTCTCTAAAGCACTTGTGACTGTGTGTTACGGTCTCTAATCTCATCTAGTACATTTGTTATATATGCTGTGGTGATATATGTGGTTCACTGGGCATATATGGTCTGCCCCCCTGAGAATGTAAGCTTCAGAGGGCAGGGACTTTGTTTCACTCACTGCCTACTCATAAGAACCTAGAAGGTGCCTGGCACGTGGGAGGCCCTCAGTAAATCTGCAGCGCCTGGATGGTCAAATGAGCCATTCAGCTGGGACTGGAAAGTGAGAGACAGCTGGCACCATCCAGTACCCATTCAAAGGATCCTCCCAGTGGGCAAAAGCTATAGACATTGCTCAACAGTGGGATGGCCTGGCACGGCATGATCAGACTTGGTTTGGGGCAGGACTCAGGACTGTTTTTGACTAATGAGGAGGAACTGAGTGGCCGTGAGACCTGGTGGTGCACAGGTCAAGCTGCTTTGTCAGGTGGTGAACTCTTGGGAGCAAGGAGTTTATGAGGCAGGACAAGAAAGGGCAAAGCCAGTTGGCTCATCCAGAAACCAAGCAGGGGAGATCCCTCAGTGTTCCCCAGAGGGCACTGGAAAGCCTATGTGTGTCCTGAGGAAGTATGATTCCCAAGCTGCTCAGCTGCTGTCCAGCGACCTGAGGCCAACAGACGCCTGCTGCATCGGATCATCCAGCTGTCGCGCAGGGAGCTGAAGTTTCATGTTTTATTTTTTGTTTTTATTTTTCGGGGGGACAGAGTCTTGCTCTGTCACCCAGGCTGGAGTGCAGTGGCACGATCTCGGCTCACTGCAGCCTCCACCCGCTGGGTTCAAGCGATTCTCCTGCCTCAGCCTCCTAAGTAGCTGGGATTACGGGCATGCGCCACCACACCTGGATAATTTTTTGTATTTTTAGTAGAGATGGGGTTTCACCATGTTGGCCAGGCTGGTCTCGAACTCCTGACCTCAAGTGATCCACCTGCCTCAACCTCCCAAAATGTTTGGATTACAGGTGTGAGCTACTGCCCGGCCTGAGCCGAAGTTTTAGAAGAACACTTTCAGATGCCAAACTCAACAGCCTCTGTCTTCCCACAGCCCACAACTTGCCACTCTCAAGCATCACAGCCATCCCTGGAGGCTCTGGAAAGCAGGGAGGGCCTAGTTCCGGTTAATCAAGCTGGGACTGGGGTGGGGTGGGGGGTTCTTTGTCAATGGCTGTATCAATCCCCTATTGCCGCAGTGACAAACAACTCCAACATCTCGGTCACTGACAGAAGTGCAGGTGGTAGTGGTGCAGGCTGTCTGTAGGGGCATTCCCTGTACTGGGACTGTTCTCCCAGCAGAGGGTAAGAAGCAAAGAGAATCAGAGCCAAACCGCATAACCACGTTCAGAGCTTCTGCCGGGACACGGCCAGCATCCTGTTCACTCACACCCTGTCAAAAGAAGCAGGTCCTGTGACAACAGGCAGATATGTAATTCCCTAGATGGAGGCCGTGACCAGATAATTCCGTCTGCCGTAGGGGTGTTGATTGCAGAAAGATGTCTGTGCTGAGGAGACCATCCAACCAGAGGACCACTCAAGTCACTCCCTCTGTGCCGATACTCTGAATTATGTCCAAGGTTGACTGAAAAGCTTCCTGAGTCTGCCTGCCTCTTTCCCACCACAGGGCAACAATTCCAGGATCTGGCTGGAAGGCCTTCCAGAGAGGCTGGCCTCTCACCCGAGTCATTCTCTCTCTCTTTCCTCCTGTCTGGCAGGTGGGTAGCAGGTCCATGGAGCCCCTGCTCGGCGACCTGTGAGAAAGGCTTCCAGCACCGGGAGGTGACCTGCGTGTACCAGCTGCAGAACGGCACACACATCGCTACGCGGCCCCTCTACTGCCCGGGTCCCCGGCCGGCGGCAGTGCAGAGCTGTGAAGGCCAGGACTGCCTGTCCATCTGGGAGGCATCTGAGTGGTCACAGGTGGGTGCCTGGGCTTGCCGCCAGGACTCAGCCACAGGGACTCCAACACGGTGCCACGGTGTTGGTGACATTCTGGTGCCTCCCAGCCCTCGCTCGCCCCCAGGTCAGCTCGAAGTTGTGTTATAGCTCATGTGTTCTTAATTTCCATCTCAGATAACAGCGTGGCTACAAAAACACAGATACCATGTCTCTCATGATGTACATGTTGACACCACAGTGAAGGACTATTTGATCCCATTTCCTATGAAAATTCCCACATCAAGATAGGACAGACAGATACTGACCGACTTTTTAATTCTCCTTTGAGTGTATTTAACTGTGGTGTGCTCAGGCTGGGAAGGTGGTTTCAAAGGTTTTCCTTTAATCCCCCAGCAGTCTTTGTAGATTACAAGAGTCAGATGCCAGGAGGGACAGCTTTTAGTGTGCAAGTTGGAGTTACAAATCTCATGCCATAAAATGTTTTGGAAAGAAGTGGATTAAGCCTTAAGTCTTAACTTTGAAGGTTGGTCCTGGGAGTACGATTTTATCTTTGGTGATGTCATCCTTCAGGGCTTTGCATTGACTTTGCATTAATGATTTTGACTGTTTGGCTATAAAACTCAAAAAAAAAAAAAAAAAAGCTGAATAAAGGGCAGGCTTCCCTCAGGTCTTCCACCACAGTAGTCTAGGAAACTCAGAGAGGCTCATCCAAGACACTCTTTAGTGTGGAAAATATTTTTAAAGTTCCCTCTATTGCCAAACAGTTGGAATTATTTTGAATAAAAAAGTATTCAGCCCATTTTTAATGAAGGAAAACTCTGCCATTGGCTGCTCTAAAACAAAGGTTAATTTTCAAACAGATTGTGGCATGTATTTGTTTATAGATCTGAATCTTTATCCTACATTTTATGATATTTTAGGAAAGGAAGAGAGTTTGAGATTTTGTTGTTTGATTGGTTTTTTTTCTTTATATATGCTGACATTTGTCAGTTTAACATTAGAGGGATTTTTTTCGGCCGCTTGCTGGCAGAGTTGAGGCAGGTATTCAGCCCCCTCCCCTTTCCAGTACCCTAGGTGAGCCTTTGGGTTTTAATTGCCTAGCTCTTGATCCAAGTAAGATTTGTGCTTTGATCAGATCAAAACTATAAATTTTCCACTCAGTGGTGAAACCCTGTCTCTACTAAATACAAAAAAGTAGCCAAGCATGGTGGTGCACTCCTGTAATCCCACCTACTTGGGAGGTTGAGGCAGGAGAATCACTTGAACCTGGGAGGCAGAGGTTGCGGTGAGCCAAGATTGCTCCATTGCTCTCCAGCCTGGGCAACAAGCATGAAACTCTGTCTCAAAAAAAAAAAAAAAAAAAATTCCACTCAGACTCTTTTTATGGAGGAAAAAAATGCCTCCCCAACAAGCCTGACATCATCAATTATCATTACAGCACTGAAGATCTCTGCATTTGGAAAATGTGAGACAGTGGGAGCAAGATTTAAATAAATTTCTCTGTGCCTGTATCTATGTGCACACCTAATCCTAATCCCGAACGAACACCACACCAGTCAGCCTAACTCTGGCTTAGCCCAGGCTTGAGCAAAACGCTTTCTTCTCAACATTTAACTTGGAATCAAATCATTCCCCACGGGAAGCTCGCGAAGCTGGTACTTCTGCTGCTTCCCAAGTACTGAAGTCCCAAAGTGAGTCTGTCTTCCGCTGGAAGCAAATGGGTTTCAGTTCCTTGAGGGAGAGTTTTTGTGGATGTGGTCACTTTTATCCAACCAGCTGTGTTGATTGCTCTCACTACCTACCCCCAGCTTCTTCCCGACTTTATTAGAAGAAGGATCAAATATCCAGAGGGAAGGAAAAGGTAGTGAGTTTCTCCTGTCCTCAGCTTGCAGGCCCCGCCCGTGATGGAAAGCAGAGAGACTACAGGGCACCCTCCTAGGCCCCTTTGGAGCTGGAGCTGTCCTCAGCAGCCTGCGGCACCGCTCAGACAAAGGCTTCAGAAAGAGAATAGGTTGCTGGTCAGAGTTTAGTTAAGGGTCAGGGTTTGATTAAGAAATAGGCTGGATGTTCAGAGCTTGAAATTCAAGGGGAAGAGGCGAGGAATGCAAAGTAAAGACCAGGCAACAGTGAACTTAGGCAGAAATGGTGCATGGGCTCCTGGTTGCAGAGGAGCAAGTTGTGTGGGTGCTGGTGCCAGGGGTAGCCCACAAGTCAGACAGTGAGGACAGAGTTGCTGAAATGGTCAGGAAACCTTGCCACGTAGAGAAGCAAGTGGTAGCCCTCCAGTGCAGTGCCCCGGGGCTCCTGCCCCTGCTCCTGCATGCAAAGCCCACCGTGGACTGACCCCTGGCATCCGAGGACCCTTTAAACCAGCTCCACACTCCACACACAGCGACTCTCTCCACTCCCTGAAGGGGACATTGCAGCCAGTTCTGAAGCATGTGTATTTCAAACCAGCCTAAATTAGCCTTGAAAGAAAACCTCATAGGATCTTTAGACAAAGAGCTTAGTTGAATTCATAAGAAAGAGAGGCTGGGCGTGGTGGCTCACACCTGTAATCCCAGCACTTTGGGAGGCCAAGGCGGGTGGATCATGAGGTCAGGATATCGAGACCATCCTGGCCAACATGGTGAAATCCCATCTCTACTAAAAATACAAAAATTAGCCAGGTGTGGTGGCATGCGCCTGTAGTCCCAGCTACTCAGGAGGCTGAGGCAAGAGAATCGCTTGAACCCAGGAGGCGGAGCTTGCAGTGAGCCAAGATTGTGCCACTGCACTCCAGCCTGAGTGACAGAGCGAGACTCCATCTCAAAAAAAAAAAAAGAGAGAGAAAGCTAGATCATATTTTGGGATAAATGTTAATAACAAATATCAAGATTAACATTTGTCCTTTATGTACCTTTTTTCCAGTGGACACAGTGGGATTTCTCTTTCTTTTCTTTAGAGATGGGGGTCTCTATGTTGCCCAGGCTGGTCTTGAACTCCTGGCCTCAAGTGAGCCTCCCACCTCAGCCTCCCAAAGTGCTGGGATTATGAGTGTGAACTACTGAATTTGGCCTAGAACTTTTTAAAGTTGAGTTTGTTATAACTCAAGAAAGTCACTGCTGTAGCCTGCCATATTTTTGGTAAAGTGAGCAAGTATGAAACCGCCTTAGCAGAATCCAGCCTTCTGCACACCATCTTTCCAAGTTATGTGTTTACGCCTGTGTCAGGGACAGGGCTCCCAGGGCCAACTTGTTTGTGAGTTTTGTCCTCCTGAGGCTATGGGTCAGCTCTGCCTGGGCTTCCTTCTGCTTTGCTTTTGGAGATGGTAAGTGTTCTTGCCAGCCCAGGCACCGTCCCTCCCCAAGATCTGTGGTGGGCGTGTCAGGAACAGGCTCCAGATGCACCCCAGAGCACCCATCTGCTGTGCTGACACCCTGTCACACCCTCTGTCTCTTCACACCTTCTTGCTGCTGGGAATCCTGAACTCTGGAGGGCGTGCACATCATTCGTCACCCACAGGCCCTGCCCAGGTCCCCTCCCCACTGCCCCTTGCCAGGTCTCCTGCAAGTAAGTAAACTACCACATGCCTCTGTCACCATTCTTGGTGTCTGCGTTAAAACATTCACTGGAGCTCTTTGCGAAGGCTTTCCACCTGCCTCACGAGAAAGTCACCTGCGGCTTTTCCTTCCTTCTGCCTCCTCTATCTCCCGGCTGGAGCGAGGTCTTTGTCCCAGACTGGCCCAAGCAAAGCACGTGCACCTGGAGGCCATCTGGGAAGATCTGGGGCCTGGGACTCAGCTTCAGGGCCTCACCTGGCTCCAGCTGGGCCCTGTTCCCTGCAGCACTCATGGGTCCATCACACACCTGCCCTTTGAGCTCATGTATTGCCTTAAGCTTTTGGACCTGACAAGTGGCCACTGAATTCCACTCCCCTCATGTGACCTTATGAGTACCCCAGGTTCTTCCCACTCCTGATTCCTGGGTCCCTTCCCCAACACTGGTCACTTGGCTGGGGCCCCAGCTGGGACCATGTGCATAAGACCCTGTAGACCATGAGCTTTTTGAGGACAGAAGTGTGGGTTTTCGTCTTTGCATCATCCCACACCTGGCACCTCGGAGGGAGTTAATAGCTGCTGATGGACTTGAATCAAATTGGAACTGGATTAAATATTCGAATGGTGTCTTGCAGTGTTCTGCCAACTGTGGAAAAGGGGTGCGGAAACGGACTGTGGCGTGCACCAACTCACAAGGGAAATGCGATGCCTCCACCAGGCCGAGAGCCGAGGAGGCCTGCGAGGACTACTCAGGCTGCTATGAGTGGAAAACCGGGGACTGGTCTACGGTGAGAGCAGCCTGCTGGCATTTCTCTCTGTGCCCCAGTGCAGGGGGCTCGAGGGTCGGGAGCTCAGCTCTTGTGATGGGTCCCAATTCCACACGGCAATCGGTAACTAGGCACATTCACTTTCCTTCCACCTGCTGCCACTACCCAAGACCCCGTGTGCTTCCTCCCCTGCTTCTCCCACAGGCCACACCAGCACTGCCCCTTGGGGCTCACTGGGAGAACCCCACTGCTTCACATGCATGCAGAGGGAACCCAAACGCAGCCCAAGGCAGGACGCCCGTGCCCTGGATGCCAGGCTTGCCATGCTGTGCAGTGGGCCGGCAGGCCCCAGCCTCCTGCCATGGGGACACTTGGGGCAAACATCACTTCCATTCACTCCCAGGACCCCTGGGCAAGGGCCTGGAGATGCAGGGACAGACAGGGCAGGGGGCTTTGAGGTGGGAGCAGGGAGGGGTATCACAGAGCTGCGGAGTCAGCACTCTCAAGACCAAGGGTGAATAAAGGGCCATTGAATGTTTCTCCAAGTAAAAAAATGATTTGTTGTTTAACCCCTCTTTTTTCATTCGTCTGATACATTTGAATGATTCCTGTTTTCTGGGGACCAAGGTGAGCACCACTGCCACCTGTAAGAACCTTCTAGTGGGTTTTCTTGAGAGTCTTTTCACAAAATCTGTACCACGCCTCCTGTAAGCATAGACCGTGTTTGTCTTTCTGTATGGTCTTAGCAACTGAAAAACTCCTGCTTGCTTCTCCTGATATCTCTTCACTCAAAGATTGCAAACTGCTGACCTAGAGCCATTGGTTTTTGCTCAGCCTACACAGTATCTTAAACATGTTGGAATTAGTGGCTAGCATTTTTGCCAACATTTTAATGCATATTCTAATCACATGATTGACTGCCAATATGTTCCTTGTGTGAAAAAAACGTTTACTTGAGCTGAATGTTCATTATCTTCACTTTAGACAGTTTTTTTTATTATACTTTAAGTTCTGAGGTACATAGCAGAATGTGCAGGTTTGTTACATAAGTATACATGTGCCATGGTGGTTTGCTGCACCCATCAACCCGTCATCTAGGTTTTAAGTCCCACATGCATTAGGTATTTGTCCTAATGTTCTCCTTTCCCTAGTCCCCCGCCCCCCAACAGGCCCTGGTGTGTGATGTTCCCCTCCCTGTGTCCACGTTTTCCCGTTGTTCGACTCCCACTTATGAGTGAGAACATGCAGTGTTTGATTTTCTGTTCCTGTGTTAGTTTGCTGAGGATGATGGTTTCCAGCTTCATCCATGTCCCTGCAATGGACATGAACTAATTCTTTTTTGTGGCTACATAGTATTCCATGGTATATGTGTGCCAGCCACATTTTCTTTACCCAGTCTATCATTGATGGGCATTTGGGTTGATTCCAAGGTCTTTGCTATTGTGAACAGTCCCACAGTAAACATACATGTGCATGTGTCTTTATAGTAGAATGATTTCTAATCCTTTGGGTATACAGCCAGTAAAGGGATTGCTGGGTCAAATGGTATTTCTGGTTCTAGATCCTTGAGGAATCATCACACTGTCTTCCACAATGGTTGAACTAATGTACACTCCCACCAACAGCGTAAAAGCGTTCCTATTTCTCCACATCCTCTCCAGCATGTTGTTTTCTGATTTTATAATGATCACCTTTCTAATTGGCATGAGGTGATATCTCATTGTGGTTTTGATTTGCATTTCTCTAATGACCAGTGATGATGAGCTTTTTTTTCATGTTTATTGGCTGCATAAATGTCTTCTTTTGAGAAGTGTCTGTTCATATCCTTCGCCTACTTTTTGATGGGGTTGTTTGTTTTTTCCTTGTAAATTTGTTTAAGATTCTTTGTAGATTCTGGATATTAGCCCTTTGTTATATGGATAGGTTGCAAATTTTTTTTCCCATTCTGTAGGTTACCTGTTCACTCTGATGCTAGTTTTGTTTTGCTGTGCAGAAGCTCTTTAGTTTAATTAGATCCCATTTGTCAATTTTGGTTTTTGTTGTCATTGCTTTTGGTGTTTTAATCATGAAGTCTTTGCCCATGCCTATGTCCTGAGTGGTATTACCTAAGTTTTCTTCCAGGGTTTTTATGATTTTAGGTCTTAGGTTTAAATCTTTAATCCATCTTGAGTTATTTTTTGTATAAGGTGTAAGGAAGAGGTCCAGTTTCAGCTTTCTGCATATGGCTAACCAGTTTTCCCAACACCATTTATTAAATAGGGAATTCTTTCCCCATTGCTTGTTTTTGTCAGGTTTATCAGAGATCAGATGGTTGTAGATGTGTGGTGTTATTTCTGAAATTTCACCTGAACATTTAGGTTTTGGCTTTGCTATGAAAATGTGGCAACATGGCTCAGGCAGGTAATTTTGCTTCTGCCTCTGCTTTACGAAAGGAAAAATGGTTTTTCCATTGGAAGGCAAAACTTATCAGAATCTGATCCCTGCAGAAATGCTACCACCTTCCCATCAGCCCAAGTCAGAACACAAATTTCTCCAAACTCTTTGAGTAAAAAAAAAAAGCCAAATTTCCCAATTCCCTGTTTGCCTGATAGTGCTAAGGTGCACTATTATTCTGGATAACAGTGAATTTGAGAAGGACCTAAAACACCTCCTTCCTATTTACTCCCTGATCAAAACATCTGACCAAGGCAACAGAACTGAGGCTGTCAGTCCAGTTTCCCCAAAACCAAACAGGGATGCCACACAGTTACTTGGATGTTAATAAAGCTTAATATGGAGCTGCCAGGATGTATCTTACACTGGCAGAGAAACTAAACTTCAAAACTCTCACAAAAGATACATGTGCTTTGGCTGGGCATCGTGGCTCACACCTGTAGTCCCAGCACTTTGGGAGGCCAAGGCAGGAGGATTGCTTGAACCCAGAAGTTCAAGATCAGCCTGGGCAACATAGGGAGACTGTGTCTCTACAAAATAAATAAATAAACAAACAAACAAAAATAAAAATCAAAATTAAAAAAATAGCCGGGCGTGGTGGCACATGTCCATAGTCTTAGCTACTTAGGAGGCTGAGGCAGGAGGATCACTTGAGCCAGGGAAGTCAAGGCTACAGTGAGCCATTATTGCACCACTGCACTCCAGCCCAGTCAAGAGAGCAAAACCCCATCAAGAAAGAAAGAAAGAGAGAAAGAGAGAGGGAAGGAAGGAAGGGAGGGAGGGAGGGAGGGAGGAAGGAAGGAAGGAAGGCCTTCGAGCCATGAGGACTTGAACTCATGCAATAGAGACATTAAGGGACTGAATGACAGCTCCGACTCTCCACTTACGTGCCTTAACCTCTCTGACCCCTTGGTCTCTTTATCTCTGAAATGGGAATCATAAACACTGGCCCTGCCTGTTTCTCAGAGATGCTTAGAGGTTTCAGAATGTTAATATATGTGTCTAAGCACTTTGACAACTAAATCCATTTCATTTCATTGCCCAAAATCCGCCACCCAAAGGTCACAGGGTTTTGGGGCACAATCCCCAGGGTTATAACCCATTCCGATCTGACTTAACCTTGTCTTATCAGTAGGGCTTCCAGCCTTTTATAGACAACACTGAGAAATTCTCTATCCAAGCACATCCAGACCTAGCTTGAAAAAGATCACTGATCCTAGCCCAGAGACATATAGGTGAGCTATCAAAAGACTAGGTTCTGATCCATAAGTAGCATGTTGGCAAATGTGCAGGATCATCTGAAGAACTGATGATTATTTTATACCTACATGGTTATAGAGAGTCCAGAAGATGTAGAAGCGGACCTGCCTAACACAGTAACAGGCAGAATAACATTGGACACTAAGTGTTCAGATGTGTACTGGAATAAAGCTGTCATTGTCATCAGGGAATTGGAAGGGTCCTAGTAACCACGTCCTAAATGCAGCCTGCACTATTGTTGGCGCCTGTGCCCACAGGGGTCCGGGGCAGAAGCGGAGGCAAGAAGTGGCCAGTTCTAGGCCTGGGCCACACCTGCCCATCTGGGATTGGAGTGCCTAGCACTACTTTCCTTTTTGTGGGGTACCCCTGTGCCTCATGTCACTGGTCCCCTCTAGCCAAGGTTGTCACCCCTGCTGCACAGAAGAGGGAATGGAGGCTCAGAGCAGTTACCTGCCTCGCCCACACCCCGGCAGAGTCCAAGCTCCTGGACCCAGTTCAGTGTTCAGGCTGTTTGGTGGAATCCAAGCAAGAAGGGATTGGGTAGGAACCATGATGGCGCCTTTAAGCTGAGGGGCATCTTGTCGATGGTTCTTGGGCTGCAGGGCTTGGCTCTCCTCAGCATGACCATTCTGGTTCTGAGGACTAGCTGGACAATTTTGCTTTCTTAAGTACCTTGACCTTCCTGGTACGAGGAGCCACAAAACAACCAAAGGATGGACAGGAATAACACTCAGCAGTCCTGCCCGGGACCTGGTGCTCATGCATCACGTGGCTCACTCAGCCCATGAGCCTTCCCTCGTCTGCTGTCTGGGGTCCCTCCCTGGCCAAGGACACTGCAAGTTTCCCCAGACAGGACCTTCAGCCTTCCGGGAATACCTGTCAGGTAAGATGAAGCCTTTTGCCTGGCCGTCCTCTCTTCACCAGCCATGCTGTGAATAACACTTCCAGGCTTTCAGAAGAGTGAGGGGTTGGAGTCACTGTGCCCACTTTTGTCATAGCCCGTTTGACAAGCTGTCACTGCAGTAAGAACAAGAGGGATTTGTGGGATGTGAGGGCCTCGGTGACATCTTGGTTGCGGTGTTAATCTGCTTTGCATTGCTGTAAAGGAATGCCTGAGACTAGATCATTGATAAAGAGGTTTATTTGATTTATGGTTCCGCAGACTGTATAGGAAGCACAGTGCTGGCATCTGCTTCTGGGGAGGCCTCAGGAGGCTTTTACTTGCAGCAGAAGGTGGAGCTGGCATGTCACATGGTGAAAGAGGGAGCGAGAGAGAGAGAGGGTGGAGGCCCCAGACTTTTTTTTAACAACCAGCTCTTGGTGAACTA